TTCACGTCGAGGCTGCAGAAACCCAAACCGTACGGCTTCTACGTGATTTTGACTACCAAGGAAGGAGAACTGGTGCATGTGAAGCACGTGGCGTGGAAGCACAAGGTCAAAGTCTCGCTCTCTATGCCAAAGACCAGCGTGGACTACGAGTTGCACGTTTTGTCAGATGCGATTGCCGGGATCGACAGCTCACACGTCACTCCAGCTTAAGGATGCAAACTGGTGACTTGTTTGATCCTGGTCATGCGTTCCGAAATAAATCCAATTCTGGTAGAAGTATATGTAGTTTGTTAAAAGTCCACTCCTCCATGGTAACAAACATCGCAATCCTTTCGTGTAGCCATATTTCATTGAATCTCCCTCAATTGTAATAACGAAGGTTATCACTATGTAAAGAATTACCGGTACTCGTAAAGCTATCCGACTCCGCTTCCGGTATGCTTTTTGACTAAAAAGTACTTTGTAGTGGAAAAAGTGCGCATTAGATTCGGACCACTTTTGATCTTATTTTATTATAGTGGGCCACAAGTCAAGGCAAGTACTTTTTCAGGAAAAGTGCTTTATGTCGTTTTCAGAAATATTTTGAAAGAGAACCGTATTTTGACAGTTGAAGTCTCCTCAGTTCTTTTTTTTTTTTTTCAAAGTTTTACAGCAGTTCTTCAAGTTTTCCAGGCAGCTCTTCGCTGATGGCGTCAGCTTCGTCCTTCAACGCGACTCTGGCCGTGCTGCTAGCTGCCAAGTACTGCCGTCAATATCCGCTCTTCCACTGGCGGGAGGAGGCGCTCCCGTCCATGGGTAGACGCGCCGAGAAGTACTGTTTTCGCGTGGATATGCTCAATCTGCAGCAAGAAAGCTGCGGCGAGATGCTGCTATCGTTACTACCTGCACAATTGAGTCTCCTAGATTTCCAGAAAGAAAACACTTTGTACAAACTGAAAGCGCTGCTCGTCACGCTCAAGGTACGGCGTTTTACGGTATAATAGGCGATACAGAAGTTTTAGCAATTATCTCACTATTTCAATGGTTCTTGTCCTACAGCATCCATACATTCTCCCCGTCATGGACATCTACTACTCCAAAGAGAAGAAGGCACTGCTAGTGGTCCAGCCCTTTGTGTCTAGTGGCAGCATCAAGGACCGTATCTACCAGGTAGACAACGCAGCCAAGCCCTACGACGTCAAATATCGGCTGGAGAACGCTCATCCGCTGCCATTTGAAGAAATCGCCAAGTTCTCTAAGCAAATCCTGGAAGCTCTAGCAGGCCTGAGGTCCAAAGGTCTGGTATGTGACCACCTGAGGTCCACTAATGTGGTCATTGACTGTGGCAATGTCAAACTGGCCGAGATTTTCACGCCACTGCTAGCTATTGACCGATACAAGGACAGTCGCGAGTTGACAGTGTGTCTAGAACAGCACATGGACATCGATCTACTGCTGTTCGGACATATTCTGTACGAAATGGCAACGGGAATGGAACTCTTAGCCCCTCAGCCTGAAGAAGGCGTGCTCGAGATGCTGACCCCCGAAATTGCTGATGTTCTTCAAGCCATTTTCTACTATCCGGATTCGCTACCGGAACCTCCAGAGGAAGCGGAAAATAGCGTGGATTTTGATGATGCTACGTCGGTTAGTAGCTCTGTTAGCAGTCGCAACAAGAAACACTTGTTCCTCGTCGACGTGGAGAAGATGCTGGACGAATTCCCGCTCTTTGCTGTCCCTGAGCTTCCTCCCATTAGAACGCTGTTCTCTGGGTTCCGTCTGGACTCCGCTATGAAGAGTACCATCAAGTACAGTATGCGTATTAACGCGAGTCGAACGCAGGCTCACATTGTGCACTACAACGATCAGCAGGCATTACTGCGTGCGCGCCAACGTGCCGAGCGTCGCGTTTACGAGGAGAAGGAAAAGCAACAGCAGCGAATTCAGCAACTCACGCCCAGCAAGAACCCGACTAGTAAAGGCAACTCGTACAGCAGCAAGACGATACCGACCAGACGAAAGACGTACCGTGCTGACAGCTTCCGCAAACATGCTCAACGTGCGCTATCTCTACCTGACAGTTCGAAATCCAACATGAGTGTGTCCAGTGCCTAGAATCTCTAGAAACTTACACTTTTATAATGTAGATTGCTGCAAAAACATTATAAAAAAAATGTTACTAAGTATTTTTTTTTTAAGAATCTAGCGAAACGACTCCATTGTGTCCCACAAGACTTAAATTTTCCATAGGAAAACGATGTCGTTGTGCGTGTTGAATGAGCCGGCGCCAGACATGAGGCTAACGGATCTGGAGACGGGCGAGCAGAAGCAGCTTCTGGACTTGGTGGAGAGCTCGGGTAAATACACGATCTTGACGTTCTACGCCACTTGGAGCAAGGCAAGCGAGCGTGAGGTGGAGACGATGGAGATTTTCAGCAAAGATCGCCACAACAAACTGCTCAACTTTGTGCTGGTGAATCTTGATCAGAATATTGGAGACACTTTCGCTTTTCTGGATACGATCGTGGAGCACAAGATCGGAGATGAAACGATCAAAGGGCCGCGGGTGTGTCGATACTATGGCAATGGAAATGAACCAACAGTTCTGCATTATGGGGCGGCTGAGGTCCCTGAGCCGTACGGTCTACAGAGCGTCCCGCACACGGTTGTGATCGATCCGCAGGGCATCGTCCTCCGTAACGGTGACAATTTCCATTGGGATGACATTGCTGCTCTATTACGCCACCGCCAAGAAGAGACCGATCCAACTTACTTTAAAAAGATCATGTCGTGGATGCTACCTCCAATTGCTACTTGAGTTCGAGCCTCAGTATCCAGAAAAATGAACTTGAAAACTCAGCACTGCATGACCATTTCACTTCGAAACACATAATATGATTCTAGCTTTGAGACTCTTCTTCCGTTTTCGTGCTTTTCTCTTTCGTGATCAGAAACAATTCACATTCGCCCGTGTTCACCAATTCTTGTAAGAACTGGTAGCATGCACTCTCACTCTCAAACGCCTGCAAAAAAAAGGAAAATAAATAAATACAACTCAAATCTCAGGTGAATAATTCAAAGCTACAACATACCACAGGAGCTTCGAGTTTCGAGTCCAAATTGTAGCAAACGCCGCAAATTTTCCGAATGGCGAACCAGTGTCGCTGCGTCCATAGACTACTGAGCATCGTGGTCATCACCACGTTGCACAAAACTCCCTCCACCTCGTCTAGCTTCACCAGCTTCTCGTCCACGGGTTGTCGCTTGTCCAGCCACTGCATCACGTAACCTAGAAAAATATTGACTGATAATTCTCACCACTGCTACATTTATGACACAATCGGCTAGTATTTTACCTTTTTGTTGTAATGCTAGCGTCAGAGCGTTGACGTCGTAATTTCCAAGTCCCAGTGGGGCTCTGTGAGGGTTCCAGGCCCAATTCATTAGGCCATTCCCAGCTTTTGGGTCAGCCAACGTCGCCAGCTCCATACACGCTTCATCTAACGAGGCTTTGGAGAAAACGGGACCTACGTAAAATACATTCATCAGACCATACATTCCTCGTAGTTTAACACTGCATAATACACCTCGCAGCACGTTGTTGAGCGCGTGAAGCCCGCAGCGGTAGAGCGTCTGGCGCTCGTGGTAGAGTTCCTTCTCAGTCATTTTTTATTCGACAAGGGTAACGAAATAACTAAAACTGAAGATGAAATTTGATTAAAATTTAGCTTCTACATGGCTACATTTTTCATTGAGGTTTCGTAACGATCCGATGGTTATTGCGACGATGCCAGTGTGTCTCCCGTTGGTTTTCCCTGCGCTCGTACACACCGAGATCATGGAGGCAGGACGACAAATCAGCATTCGTCGCGTTTCCAGCAGAGCACAAAAGTCACTTTGGCCGAACCGTTATTACTAGTTCCAAGCAAGTCAATTAAAAACTGCAACTTGACCATGGGGAACCGTGGAAGCAAGCCCAACGACACTGGTAACGAAGCGCAGGAAGATACACGTAAGGCGTCTCGCCCCACTGAAGAGGTTTCTAGCACGAATCCTTTCAAACCCAACAACCGCAGGTGCACCGATGTTCTCTGCTTGCTCTTCTTCGTCGTCTTCTGGATCGGTATGATCGTCATTGCCGGCGTCGGGTACAAGCACGGTAAACCACAGCGACTCATCTACGGCACTGACTGGATGGGGCGCACATGTGGTGCTCAAGCTGACAAGACCGATACCGTTCCGGCCTACGACTTTACCGACTACAAGTACATGATCTATCCGCGTCTGTCTGAAGATCTCAAGACACTCGCCGCAGCTGGTTACACTGCCAAACAACTCGCCAATCCTTCGACACTTCGTAAACTCTTCGGCGTATGTGTCCCGTCCTGTCCACTAATCACCGACAATGATCTCTACGTGCACGCCTACTTGAACTACACTGTACACGCTGATCCCGTGAACGAAGACGACTCCAGTGCCGGTTCTAGTATGGAGTACGAGAAGGCCGGTTCTCCTTGGAAACTCGTCACCAACTCCAGCAACGTCTTGTATCGGTGCGTGGAGCTCACCAAGATTGAAGTCACACAAACTGCTCGGTGCGTTGACGACTGTACGGACGAAGAAGAAGCGAACTACAAGGCAGGCAAAGTCAAGACTCTGACCTGCGGGACGGACGAGAAGATCAACCCGTTCACAGACTGTGGCAACAAAAGCTGTACTGAAGTTATCACCGCTTTACGACCGAATTGTACGAGCTTGGAGACGACTAAACAAGAGCGTCAGATTGGCTCCACGACCGAAGACCCCGTCACCAAGATGCTGAGTCGGAAATGGTACATGGTGGCTCGCTGGCTCGGTGACCTGCAGAAGGCTGCCTTCCCCATCTTGATCTGCGGTGGGCTGTTCGCTCTGATCCTCGGACTCATCTGGCTTGTCCTGCTGCGCTACTGTGCCGGTCTCTTCGTGTGGCTTGTCATCGTGCTCGTCGTAGCCATGCAGATCGTTATTACCTTCTTCTGTGCCTATGAAGGCAACCTGATCAACAGTACAAGTATGCAAAGTACGTTAGATAAAATGGGGATGTCGTCCGAGGACGCTCAAGCGCTCACTGTTGCAACCACGACCTACATCACATCAGCCGGCATCACTGCTGCTGAGGATCAGGCTTACTATTGGGCGATCGCCTGCTACGTCCTCACTGCAATCGACATCCTACTTCTCCTTCTTCTCATTTTCATGTGTGGCCGTATCCGTATTGCTATCGGTATCATCCGCGAAGCTTCGAAGGCGCTACAGTCCATGCCAATGCTAACGCTCTACCCGATCGTACCCACACTATTCGCAGTCGGTCTTGTGGCCTACTGGTTGGTGGCGGCTGCATTCATCGCAACGTCTGGTAAAATAACACTCAACGACGTCGCCGACACCGCTGGCAACGCTACAGGCACCGATTTCGAGGGCGCTGTCCCAGCGAAGATTAAGGAGGACGATGCCATGCACTACTTGATGATCTACCACCTCTTCGGACTCCTCTGGACGAGTCAATTCATCCAGGCCGCAGCGTACGCCACCATTGCTGGTGCCTTCTGTGAGTACTACTGGACACTGGACAAACGTCAAGTGCTGGCTCGACCGGTATTTCGCTCCATGTGGCGCACCATTCGCTACCACTTCGGATCGATAGCGTTCGGCAGCCTCATTATCGCCGTCGTGCAGATGTTCCGCATTGCACTCGAGTATATCGACCAGAAAATGCGTACGGCCAAGCAGGGCAACGCAGTGGTTAAAGTGGTTATGCTGTGCCTCAAATGCTTCCTCTGGTGCTTCGAGAAGTGCCTCAAGTTTCTCAACAAGAACGCCTTCATCATCATGGCCATGAAAGGCAAAAGTTTCTGTCCAGCCATGAAGGATTCCTTCTCTTTACTGCTGGCTAACGCTGCTCGAGTCGCTACTGTCAGCATCGTCTCGCGCTTCTTGATGATCCTAGGCAAGATGTTCATCACGGGTTTCTGTATGCTTTTCATGTTCGTCTTTATCCGCTATCCGCCTACACATCTGCCGAGCTTCTTCCTGGGCGATCTGGCCAGTGTCAGCAGTCCGATCTTCCCCATGCTGCTCACGGGAGTGCTTAGCTACGCCACGGCCTCGTTCTTCTTGGACGTCTATGGTACTGGTATCGATACGATCTTGCTCTGCTTCTGTGAAGACTGCAACGTCAACAAATCCTCGGAGCAGTACTACATGAGCGACGAACTGGTGGCTTTCATTGAAGGACCAGCCAAGCACAACGCCTTCCCCGTATACCAGAAGCAAGGATCTAATACGCGTGACAACGCACCAGCCACTGCGCCACCTATCGTTCAGGCTGGTCCAATGACCAAGATCAAGTAAGTCTCAAGACAACAAATACATTCGTGTTTGCATTATTTGGACCAGCTCTATGTGGAGATCTTTCCAATACATCGGTGTGGTGTTAACAGGACTTCATAGATCCCATACGCAAATAACGAAATGCAGAGCTTAACGCCCTTGTGTCTGCAGCTATCGCAGAAAACGAGCAAAACTGAAGTTTTGCTCCCACCTTCAGCTTCAAATGCCTCGTCGCATTTGCCTCCGATCTTGAAGTCATGACTCGTCAAAGCGGACACTTGTGCATATTAACTCTCTCAGCATTCATGCTCCTGCAGCTCAATAGGAGCTTTTAAAGGCCCCTCTCGCCGATGTTGATCGTTTCGCTTCGCACGGTGCGAATCGCACAGCGTCGCAATGTTTGAGGTCCACAAGCGTGGTCGCATTCGTCCCTTAAGAGAAATGCCCAACTTCCTCTCGCTTACTGGGTTTCTATACGACTCCTTACTAATGGAGAAAACTACGCGCTGCCAAGACACGAACGGCAGTCGCTGTTGTAGCCATACAACTCGGAGCTTGGAGCGCGGCGGGCAATGACGGCAACGCGTTGCCAACGTTTAACAGTGTGTGTCGTTTATGAACACTGAAGACTTGAAGATGCAGGTGCAAGTTATAAAGGTTTAGGGAATTATTTCAGCCAATCCACGATTTTGTTTCGATTATCACCCAATGCGGGCAGACTTCATTCCAGTGGTCCCCTTTGCACCGCAAAACAGCGTTTTGTATCGCTGGGGAGATCTGAAGCGATTTTCCTGGTATCGACTCTCCAAGCCGCGCTCAATTCAGCGCAAACACGGTACGCCGCTGTCTGTGGGGCTCTAAAGCCTCCGTATCATTTCCCGAGACGCCTTCAGCCACCCGCACGTTAAGAGAGTCTCTATCATGTTCGGCCGTGTGCTGCGTAACCCCAAGCTCATGTCGCTGCCGGCTCGTCAGAGCGCGCAGGTGCGTCGCCTTAACCTGCACGAGTTCCAGTCGCTGGAGATCATGAAGGGCTTCGGCGTCGCCACGCCGCAGGGCATCGCCGCCGACACCCCGGCCGAGGCTAAGGCTGCCTTCAGCAAGATCCGCGGTGACCGTGGTGCGTATAAACATTCGATTCCTACGCTAAATAACCGAGGGGAGGGATCTATTATTATCTCCCCGTAAAGGACTCCCTAATTTGCATCAATTAGAGTATTTTGTTTAACAAAGGTATCTTATTATGACAATCCAGAGGGCGTGGATGTGGTGATCAAGGCGCAGGCGCTGACGGGCGGCCGTGGCCTCGGTACGTTCAAGAACGGCTTCAAGGGCGGTGTGCACATGTGCACCAAGCCCGAGCAGGCCGAGGAGTTCGCCAAGAAGATGCTGGGCGAGACGCTCGTGACCAAGCAGACTGGTGCTAAGGGCATTGAGGTGGCCAAGGTGTTCCTCATGGAGCGCGTCTGGATGCGTCGTGAGATGTACTTCTCGATCCTCATGGACCGCGCGTCGCAGGGCCCCGTTATGGTGGCCTCGCCCGCCGGCGGAACCTCCATTGAGGACGTGGCCGAGGCCACTCCGGAGCTTATCTTCAAGGAGAGCGTCGATATCTCCACGGGCCCTACGGACGAGCAGGTGGCTCGTCTGGCCAAGGCTCTGGGTGGTGAGGGCGAGGTCCTCAAGAAGCTGGAGACGCAGATCAAGAACCTGTACAACATGTTCATCGGTGTGGACGCCACTCTGGTGGAGATCAACCCGCTGGCCGAGACTCGCGAGGGCGAGATCTTCGCTTGCGACGCCAAGCTCAACTACGATGACAACGCGGCCTTCCGTCACAAGGAGATCTTCGCCAAGCGCGACAAGACCCAGGAGGACTCGCGTGAGGTGGAGGCCAGCGCCTACGACCTCAACTACATTGGCCTGGACGGCAACATCGGCTGCCTCGTGAACGGTGCCGGTCTGGCAATGGCCACCATGGACATCATCTCGCTGTACGGCGGCTCGCCCGCTAACTTCCTGGATGTGGGCGGAGGTGCCACCGAAGAGCAGGTGAAGAAGGCCTTCGAGATCCTGGACGGCGACGACCAGGTCAAGTCGATCCTTGTCAACATTTTCGGCGGTATCATGCGTTGCGATGTCATCGCTGCTGGTATCGTGGCTGCGGCCAAGGACCTGGGCCTGAAGAAGCCGGTCATTATCCGTCTGCAGGGCACCAACGTGGAGCCTGCGCGCAAGATTATCGCCGAGTCGGGCATCAAGATGATCGTGGCCGACGACCTGGAGGACGCGGCTGAGAAGGCCGTCAAGATCGCCGACATCGTCGCACAGGCCGAGCAGGTGAAGATTGGCGTGGAGTTCGAGGCCTAAGCGGGTGTTGGACTAGTAGCACCAGGGTTTACTCAGGTGAAAGACACCCGAATGCTCGACACAATACAAAACCACTAATAAAAGTCGTGGAGTGCGTACGTGTGCACATGCCAAAAAAGCATTTTTATCAAAGGCAATTTTTTTTGATATTTTTACAGAAAGCTTGGTGATACTATCTGTAAACTTCGCAGTTTAGTGTGCGAGTGCAGAAGCTTGATGTTGTTTACTTGGCCTCTCGTCCAGTGCTCATTGTGGTGACTATCCACTCCATGCCTTCTTGCAGACCCTCGCCCGTCTTGGCCGAGCAGGCCTGGATGTGCCACGTGCGGTCGCGGATAGTTGCCAGGTTAAGTGCCGTGGAAATTTCACCCGAGGGCAGCGCATTGAGCAAGTCTTGCTTGTTGGCGAACACGAGAATAGGCACATTGGAGAGCTTCTCCTCTTCCAGCAGCGTCACGAGCTCCATGCCAGTTTCCTCGAGACGACGACGATCAGCACTGTCGATCACGTAGATCTACACAGTAGCAAGTGGATTAATCGAGTAGTAAATGCTGTCAACAGAAAGCTACAACGCACCAGAGCGTCAGTCTGCTCGTAGTAGTTCCGCCAGTAAGGACGGATGGTCTTCTGGCCGCCAATATCCCACATGTTGAGCTTGAAGCCGTCGACCTGCAGACTCTTGACGTTAAAGCCTTGTGTCGGCATAATGTGGCTGATGTCCTCTTCCGAGAGTTTCTTAAGGATGGTGGTCTTGCCACCATTATCCAGTCCCAGCACGAGGATACGCGCCTCACTGTCGTCCTTCTTAAGCTTGCGCAGTAAATTCAGCAGGCCCATCGTAACTTCTTGTTCTCAGTGGACGAGTCGCTTAGATCTTTTTCAAGAGTAAGAGCTCGCGCCGCCGGCGAGCGGTCACTGCTGCATCCCATTAATGAACTGAGCGATCCGTTTCGAAACGACACAAGTTGAAGCTGAATCGATGCGTCCGAAAATAAGGTATGTGGTGTGGCATCCGAATTTAGGGCAGAAATAGGATTTCAGTGTTATAATCGGTGAAGAAAATGATTGGCTGTGTGGACTCCAGCAAAAGGCGACAGTCGAGAGAAGAGCTCATTCGTCAATTTTCGAGCGTGGGAGACGAGTGTTCGCGTTGTTGTTTTGGACAATAGTTGCTTGGGGCTCAAATGATGTTCGCAAAAATACCAAGATCTGCTCTGAATCTTTGTGAGGAAATCCTCTCGGTAACTCGAGAGACGAATGCACTGATGAGCCCACGAACAATCATCTTAGCTTAACTGTTAGCTTTGTTACGCGATCACAAGTGCCAGCATTGCGTTTAAGGTGCCTTCTTCTGCAGTACAAAAATATATTACTAGTCTACCTCGCAGTCCTATAATGGTTTCCAGGACCGTCGGCGAAATTATGGTTTCTAAGACCGTCATGAGAAAGTGTAGTTGTACAACAGATAGTAGTACTACCAGTCATCACGAGCTTCAATGAGACCAACAATTGAAGCAATGTCATGCCAGCCTTTGAGCCAAACATTCTTCCAGCAGAAAAGCAAGAACGCTTGCGCCAAGATAGGTAAGACTTTCGGTGTGGAAGTACATATATATGTACAGTCACGAGCACACTGGGATACATATAGCAGAACATCCATACTAGTTCATATTTAGTGGTTGTTATCGCTCTCCGGTTGGATCTCTCTCTCTCTCTCTCTCTCTCTCTCTCTCTCTCTCTCTCTCTCTCTCTCTCTGAAAGGATCTCTCGAGCATTCTCAGTGCCCGCGCCACCGGCAATATTTCTTTTGCTTTCCTTCGCTTATAAACTGAGAAATTTCTGATGAGTCCCCCTTAGCATTTTTTTTTTTTTACTTTTTATTACTTGAGTAAATCCTTTCGATGCAATTGTATCTTCAGCTGTTGTAGCGTCAAGGATCATGAGCGCGTATGGTTATTTCCAGTCAACGATTGTAGAATTTGGTTTTCGAACTCGAAGTGCCTGAAACTTACAGACAAATCTCGCGGCCGTCTCGCAGCCGCTGTACCAGAAGCACGAGTTGGCGCTCGTACGAGCAAATGTAAGGCTATCTTCCTTTCGATCCGAGATACCCCGTTATCGGGCAGAAAAACACTATGATTGTGCACGCCCCGCCGACCTCGAGATAGACATACAATCACTCATGACTGCGTGCTTTGCTGATAAAGCGACCAGCAACGTGAATACGATCACAGCAGTCACGGCCCATAGTCGGATAGTTGCTGAGGACGTACACAAGAGCGCCAACGGTTAGGCAGCTTACTTCGACTTTTTCCTTTCGACACTCAAGCAACTCGAAAATGCGTGCATTCTCCGTACTTGCCTCTCTCGCGACGGCCATACTTGCCACAACCAGCAGTGCGTGCACCGGTCCGAACTCGCGGACGACGCCTCCAGCAGGAGCTATCGTTGTCGATGCTACTGGCACATACGCGGGTAGCTTCAAGACCGTGTCGGAGGGCGTCGCCAATGTCCCGAACACGACGGACGAGCACACTCTCTTCCTGTTCCCTGGTGTCTACCACGAGCAGGTGACAGTCCCGAAGCTGAACGGCCATTTAGTGCTGCAAGGCTACACGTGTAACACAATGAACTACGCGAAAAATCAAGTGACCATCACCCACACAATGGCACAAAGAGATCTCCCTGCCAATGCCACCGGTTCGCTCAACCAACTTGTCAGTACTCTGCTGTTCAAGTCGAAAAGTGGTGTGAAGGTGTACAACCTCAACGTCGCCAACCCGACTGGAAAAATCAAGACTCTGGGCCAGGCCGTCGCCACGTACATCGACGCCCCCAACTACGGTTTCTACGCTTGCAACTTCACTGGATATCAGGACACTTTGTGTGCTAACAAAGGACGTGAACTCTTCGCCCGATCCTACATTGCTGGGGCCGTTGATTTCATCTTCGGTCTCCAGTCGAAGGCGTGGTTTGAGTCCTGTGATCTGGAATCGGTTGGAAAAGGCTGCGTCACCGCTAATGGTAACACCAACAGCTCCAATCTGTCTGAGTACGTGTTCAACAATGCGCACGTGTTCAGCTCCAACACATCGATGAATGGAACGGCCTATTTGGGCCGTCCATGGTATCCCTACGCTCGCGTTGTCTTCCAGAACAGCAAACTTGGCGACGTCATCAACCCACAAGGGTGGCAGCAATGGAACAAAGACAACAACACCGCTAATGTCTACTTCAAAGAGTACAATAACCACGGCCCCGGTGCATCTACAAAGCAGCGGGTATCCTTCAGTGGGCAGCTGGACGCGCCTGTTGCCATAACGGACATCCTTGGCAGCAACTACACGGACGAGTGGTGGGTGGACACCAAGTTCTTGTAGAGCATCGAACTGACATCGAACTATTCGATACCTACCATTTTTTTTTCCTTTTCATTTTTCAAATGCATCCGAGTAAGAACAAAATGGACGTAAACTTAGTACACAATCGCCTGCCGAATTTCGCCATGCTCAACTTTCACACAGGACTAAAATTAGGTGGTAATTTTTCGATGTTTTTTATTCGAAGAGTTCATAACAGTAACATGTAAAAATGTGTTCAATTATGACCCTTGGATTCGCGTCGAAGCAAAAGCATAGATCTAATACGCACACATGCTATTTTAGACTAGTTCTTTATTTTTTTTCATGAAGAAATGAATTTCTTAAGTGCTGATGCTGATCGGTGTCAACTGTAGATAAGGTAATTATTAATAACACCGACAATGCAATCCGTTTTTCCATTTAGGTAAGGGATGATACTTCGAACCGTTGTAAAGAGAGCTGTTCCGGCAAAGCACGGCTTTGTATACTATACTTCTTACTTATAAATGTGTACTCCGAGTATAAATTAACTTTACATTACATTTTATTACTACTACTTAAGTACTTGACTTGAATATCAGTACAGTACTACCTGCCCTGATAACTAAGATGACACAACGACTATAATATCGAGGAAAGATACTTGATATTAGATGGATTTCGACTTGCCGAGAAGGTTTGTCTGAGACTCAACATCATCTTTTCCTAGCTCCACGTACATATATCGATCGTGGAGAAAGCAATTATGGCCATGATGACTACATGTAATGGAGGCGATCTTTTCTTGACTCAAACAGCATAGGCGAGCTCGAACAAGAGATCAAGCGTGAAGAGTTTCGCATATTTCACTAATGCGAGCCCAAACTCTACCTTGCAAAGTGAGACGACGGCACATGGCTCCGGTTCAGCGACCCCGAATTCCAGTACTTGCGACAGCTTGGGGAACATCATGGGGAAATACCGGTTGCAATTAAAGCGATGGTGAATAAGGCCAATGAACTGGACGAGGAATCGGCTCTAGTCGGTGACGAACCGTTCGGTTTTCCCGACAATGACGAGCGTATCCAGGATGAGGACAACATCCATCTTATAATTCATGGCCCAAACCGCTTTATCCTCCGATTCCCATCCATGGTACGACACCAAATCGTAGTTACGGAAGCAGCCTTGTCCTACTTGAATACAAGCGATTTTGATGTTGTGATATTGTAGGCATGTACGACCGCAGCACGCCTCATACGCCATCCGAAGTGCCCAAGGCGCCACCACGAACCTGTGTATCTGGTCTGTTGAGTCATCTGCAGAATTTCTTCTCGTCGGATCAAGACTCGGCATCAAAGAAGCAAAACTGAGGGGTCAGCTAAATGGTGGGATGAGTTGATTGAGTTTGCAAGCTACTACTAGCATGCGAAGTAACGGAGGATTCAGAAGAAGAATATTAACGTGTGCTAGGTGACTTCTGGTTGACCTACTTACTGTATGCAATCGTTTGTGTGGAATTTCAAACGATCTAGTAGAAGTTGTTAGTCGACGGCCTTCTGTCGAGATATCAATATCACTCACAAAGAGAAATATATAATTATTTACAAATTTCGATGCTTCGACACTGGAATTTGAGCGTCTGCAACCCCAGTTTCATCCAGAAGCGAGCCTGAGTGTTGTCTATGAACGATAATTACATGGACTTACGGCGGTCTCCGACTCCTTCAGCATCGTCTTCACTCAGTTCCTCCAGCGTCATCGGATGTGCCATCGTGACGTTCTCCTCAGTCAGTGGCAGCGGCCCGAACGACACCGACCGACGTCGACTGTTCTTCACTGTTGAACTGGCCTGCGAGTCGCTCTCGAACGACCACGCACTCACACTCGACTCGGCGATCGTCTCCTTCTCGTCTTCTCCGTCATGTTCGCTGTCCGACTGGACCACGCGTAGTTTCGGATAGTCACTCTCACTCTGTTCACCAGCGGCAAAGTCCACATCCATGTCAATGTCCTCGTTGACCTCAGCGAAGTCGCTCAGGTCGTAGTCGCTCTCACTGGCGCCACTGTACTCTTCGTCGTCTGCGTGCTCGCCTTCGACGTATCCTTCCTCCTCGTAGCCCAGTTCAGACGCCGACAAGAACGTGGTCTTGGAGCATGTAGCCACCATGGTCTGGATGAGACTGTTCTTGCAGTTGAAGACCAACATGGCTTCATCTGCAGCAGTCTTCTGCTCCTGCAGTGCCCGCTTGACACGCACACGTGAGCGCATTGTGCGCTTGAGGTTACGTAGCAGAACACTCTCGCGTTGGTCCTCGCGACGCAGCAGCTTGAGCTCGTCGGCCAGATCCTTTAGCAGATCCGGCTGGCCGAGTGTCTGCGCCTGTTCCAGGTCGTCCTGCAGTTCACGCAGTTGCTCCAGACGCTGGCGTTGGTTGAGCACGTTCTCCACAATGTGAGCGCGCAGCAGCTCCGTCTCGTCGGCCACGGCCTGCAGACGCTTGGTCAGACGCTCGCGACGACGACGCATCACGTCGCCCACCTGTTTACTGGAGAAGGCCACGCATTTGAGCGCCTTGAGCACCTGCTTGGAGTTCTCGACCGGGTCGTCCGAGGCTGTGAGCTGTGGAATGTCGGCCATGGGCGACATCCAAGAGATGGCGGCGGTGGACATTTGTGTTGAAGTAGTGAGGGATAATAAATTAAGGGAAGAAGAGGATGAAGCGTCCCGGAATCCCAATCGGAGCAGGAGGCGCCTCTCTTCGTGTCAAAAATCGAGAATGCTGTGCGGTCGACGGCGACGGAAGGGTGTCCCGGTCATCCTTAACTGCAGTCGGCGGCGCGTTTATTGCAGCCGCTTGAAGCGTCATCTTTGCTGCAGGGTGGCAACTTGCGTTTTGTATGGCGGAGGCTCGCGTGGGATCTTTTATGCGGCTATTGGCTAATAATAGTCGGAAAAATGCGGCCCCTGTTTAACGTGTTTTTTTTCTGCCAAAACACGGGTGTTTATCATGCGTAAAATCTCCGGAGGTGGTTTATCTGCAAGCAACCTCTGCAAGGTGGCTGGCAATGCGAGCTGGCTGAGACGGTGTCGTCTTGGTGACGCAAGTAGCAATGACAGAAAATGTAGTCGCCATGTTTTGGCAATAGCTCTTAATTCTCAAGACTACTTCCTGCATCTATCCCTCTGGGCTTACCAGAGGGATAGATAAATACTACTACAGGTAGTATATGGCTGGTATTTCGTGTATGAACAGAGTAGTATAAGTTGTTGCTGCAAGGAAATACCAATACGCGAGGATACGTCTTCCTCGAAGGTGCCGCCAAGATCCGCGTTTCTTTTGCGTCGACCTGACCTGCTGTTTTGTATTTTCCATCTTCAACAAGCGTGTGACGCGATAATGACCTGGGAGCCATGACACCAAAGCCGCGATTGATAGCAGAGTTATTTTAATGCTCACAGTCCGTTTGGTTTTCTTTTTATCGTAGAGCTTACGACGTAAGCTCGTGATGTTCGAGAAGTTCTTTGTGGCATATACTGTTCAATCGCCGGTCGAGCTTCGTTGGTTAATAACACGATGCTATTGATCTAAAAAGGCGGGCCAATGCCAAAAACACCACCACATCAACTCAAGTTGAGATATTCAACAAGCTCGCATTGCCAGCCACCTTGCAGAGGTTGCTTGCAGATAAACCACCTCCGGAGATTTTACGCATGATAAACACCCGTGTTTTGGCAGAAAAAAAACACGTTAAACAGGGGCCGCATTTTTCCGACTATTATTAGCCAATAGCCGCATAAAAGATCCCACGCGAGCCTCCGCCATACAAAACGCAAGTTGCCACCCTGCAGCAAAGATGACGCTTCAAGCGGCTGCAATAAACGCGCCGCCGACTGCAGTTAAGGATGACCGGGACACCCTTCCGTCGCCGTCGACCGCACAGCATTCTCGATTTTTGACACGAAGAGAGGCGCCTCCTGCTCCGATTGGGATTCCGGAACGCTTCATCCTCTTCTTCCCTTAATTTATTATCCCTCACTACTTCAACACAAATGTCCACCGCCGCCATCTCTTGGATGTCGCCCATGGCCGACATTCCACAGCTCACAGCCTCGGACGACCCGGTCGAGAACTCCAAGCAGGTGCTCAAGGCGCTCAAATGCGTGGCCTTCTCCAGTAAACAGGTGGGCGACGTGATGCGTCGTCGTCGCGAGCGTCTGACCAAGCGTCTGCAGGCCGTGACCGACGAGACGGAGCTGCTGCGCGCTCACATTGTGGAGAACGTGCTCAACCAACGCCAGCGTCTGGAGCAACTGCGTGAACTGCAGGACGACCTGGAACAGGCGCAGACACTCGGCCAGCCGGATCTGCTAAAGGATCTGGCCGACGAGCTCAAGCTGCTGCGTCGCGAGGACCAACGCGAGAGTGTTCTGCTACGTAACCTCAAGCGCACAATGCGCTCACGTGTGCGTGTCAAGCGGGCACTGCAGGAGCAGAAGACTGCTGCAGATGAAGCCATGTTGGTCTTCAACTGCAAGAACAGTCTCACCCAGACCATGGTGGCTACATGCTCCAAGACCACGTTCTTGTCGGCGTCTGAACTGGGCTACGAGGAGGAAGGATACGTCGAAGGCGAGCACGCAGACGACGAAGAGTACAGTGGCGCCAGTGAGAGCGACTACGACCTGAGCGACTTCGCTGAGGTCAACGAGGACATTGACATGGATGTGGACTTTGCCGCTGGTGAACAGAGTGAGAGTGACTATCCGAAACTACGCGTGGCCCAGTCGGACAGCGAACATGACGGAGAAGACGAGAAGGAGACGATCACCGAGTCGAGTGTGAGTGCGTGGTCGTTCGAGAGCGACTCGCAGGCCAGTTCAACAGTGAAGAACAGTCGACGTCGGTCGGTGTCGTTCGGGCCGCTGCCACTGACTGAGGAGAACGTCAAGATGGCACATCCGATGACGCTGGAGGAACTGAGTGAAGACGATGCTGAAGGAGTCGGAGACCGCCGTAAGTCCATGTAATCGCCGGTTAGACGACGCTGATACTCGCGTCCAATCTTATGTTCTTGTTGGCCAGATGCATGAGTAGTAGAGAACACAAGTATCACTCGTAAACTTCTTGTTTGCAAAGTACTACGTATTTTATGTAAAGCGAAGTCACGTACCCTAATTTGCAATAAGTTTTGTTGTTGAAGTTTTGTCACCGTGTTTTGCAAGTTTTATGTTACGCCTCCTGCCACATTTGGACCAAATTTCACACTACACCGCCCCGATTCCGACACCATTAGACCAACCACCATGGAGGAGGAGAAGCCCAAGGCTGCGCCTGCACACAAGGCGCTCGTGACTGACCACAGCCACTCGCACCTTGATGCCCACGTGACGTGGGATGAGGAGACCATCGCGCTGCACGATCTGGACCGTGGCACGCGCATGAAGATCGATGAACCCAACACTCCCTATCACTATTATGCCGAAGGTGACGACGTTGGCGCCGTGTCACCTGCTCGAAGCCTCTCGGGTCGCGAGGCGCAGCCTCCAATCCAGGTAATATATAAATATTTAAGAAAGTTCTACTTAGTATATAATAGTTTTTTATTTAACGATATATATTTTTTAGTGGGACGAGTTGCAGTCCAAGCTGCAGGATGTCAAGGACAAGAAGAAGAGCGAATGGGACAGTGACGAAGAGAGTTCGAGCTCTTCTTCAGGAGGTCTACACTTTGCTGCTCGGGACGCTGAGGGGAAAAAGATCCAGAAGGACCCAAACTTTGCGGAGAAGCGCAAGATGCACTACAATGAATTCGAGAGGGTTCGTGCCTGGAAAATGCAACACGCAAATGACGACGACGATGAAGAAGACGAAGACGAAAAGAAGAAACCGGCACCACAGTCTTAATAACGGCGTTAATGAGGCTGATGTTCTTCTTTCTATATCTTACAAAACTTAAAACCAAGGTTGAGTTGATAGAAATTGATGGAGAAATAGCATCGCGTCTAGATTAATTCGAGTGTCTGCCTTCTTATCTAGACATTTCTGTCTTAATGATGAGTTTAGAAGTGGCTACCGAATTTGGTACGTCCAGACATGGAGCACTTGGGAGCCGTGCGGTATGTGGACTCGACCTGTGTGCCAACCGAGCTCCTGGGGTCGTAATACTTGGATCCGATCCTGTCGGCAGCGGACCGGCCGTTCCTACCACGCGCCTCAGTACCGAAGGAGAATGATGCAGCTGACGAGACTGTCGAGATTGCCTGACGACCCACCGCCTCAACGACGACGCCGTATTGACCAGGCCCAACGTCTGCCGTGCTCGAAGTATGCAGTGGCTTTCTCTCTACCTTGGGGAATGAAGACACGGGATTGGACTTCTGCGTCGAAAGAACTGTACGTCCGATGGTCGGACTCGACTCGTAGGCACCTGGACCCGGGAACTTCTTGTCACCTGCCATTGGAGACCATTTCTTACCCAGAGAATAACTGGGGGCTGCTCGCTCTCGAGGATTCACGATGTGTGTGCTGTAGTCACCAGGTCCTGGGAATTTAGCGGAGGTCTTGAGATCAGCAGTAGAGCCAAACTTTTCACGTCCACTGATGGAGCACGATGGAGCCTGGGCCATCGTGGATAGCACCGGTTTGCCAATGGACGAAGGGATCTGATACGCCCCTGGACCTGGAGACTTGGACCCATTGTGCGTACGTGGACGGGTGCCGCTTCCAAAGACTGTGTACGGAGCTGTAGCTTTGCGCGAGTCTACTTGTTCACCGACAGATGATTTGATGTCCGTGAACATTTGGTGCGTCGGACTCATGACTCTACCCGGAGAGGTTCTCGCACGCGGAGGTGACGACGTCATGACTGCCTTGTGGTAGGAAAAAAAAAAAAACCGAGCTGGAGTAGGCGTCCAACCCCTCTTTGCCTATACGCAGAGCACTTGTTGGTGTTGTTTCTCACGGAGCAGATTGGAATTTGATGGTCGCTTGGACGTGCCAATTATGGAGTACCAATGACTGCTGTCGTGCCTTAAAGTGCTTCAAATAGGTCGGGAGCCAATAGAGACGAGGGAATGACACAAGCCGAGGGGTAAGATCAACAGGAGGAGCCAAGGAGGGCATCAAAAGAAGGCATACTGCGCCTTCACGCTATTTATATTCCGTTCTAGCTCGAGAATTGAGCATTGTTGACAGAAATAGTCTACACCGAGCGATGTTGATGGCCGAGAAGTACTCAACTCACGCAGTCCCCCTGCTGTGCCCAAGGCAGTCCCCCCTGCGTTCTCAAATCAATTGTAGACGAATGTGCTTCGAGTTTTGATGTGGCAACAACTCACTGGACGGGAGCCAAAGGCGACAGAACCACCGGAATGCTGACGTATGCGATAATCATTTCAAAGGAATGATGGTCTCTCGCAAACGCAAACATAACGATGTGGAACTCCACTTCCAGCACATTTGATGCTTTGGCAATGCCGATGCTATTATAGATTTTGGACATACAATGTGCTATTAGACACAGCGCTCTGCTTCTGGTGCAGTATGTGCAATGCTGGGCACTATTGTGTTGTTGGTGGGACTCCCAGTCTGAGAACGAAGATTTACGTGTTTGGAGTGAATGTATTATTGTAGCAAATCAGTTGGTTAGCAACGTTTCTTTTTTTTAGAAACGTTGCTAACCAACTGATTTGAATTTAAATTCGATGCTCGTCCACGAGTTTAATGATAGCACACGAAGCTAATGAGCAAAAGTGCCAACTTCATTATGTTTTCTTGGTACTACCATTTCCTATTCCCATAAATTTCTGCCTTTGTTAGTAGGATCAGCACTTTTGAAACAGGGTCTACAGTAATTGGCTCGAAGCAGCACGTTGAGCGCGTGGCGAGTGCGGATCGGATCGGTAAAGCCCGTGGGAACATGAAACAGCATGGATATTCCAGCTCTGGTAGATCGGTTCTAAGCTCTTGCTTTGAGGGCCCTGGTATCACCGCTCTTCCATCAGTGCCCCTAGTCACCCTACTGTAAAATGAGTAATGTACTGAATCCGCAGCAAGTTTGAATTGGGCTCTCTGACCACTCCTTAGTAAGGAGTCCTTATACAAGGTCCGCCCTCTGTCTTCACCGCACCAGTGATTAAAAAAAAAGCTCGCCTCCACACAGCCTTCCACTCATCAAGCCACCAAAGCCCCGCATCCACTGGTCTCATCACTTGCTTGCACTTTTTACAGTCCTTTTTGCATTTCTAAGTCGTTTCTAAAAAAAAAAGCGCAAGTCACAGGATCTCACTACCGAATCTGCCTTCAAGTGTTCACTGCGTAGCGCTGTCCACCAGTCAAGTACAGCCCCTTACACACCCGGCCATGAGCTCCAACAGCAGCAGCACGGCCAACAGCACGACTGGGATCCTGAGCAACGGCTCGGCCAGCAAGAACGACTACGGCAGCACGAGCTACAACCAGGTGATGGTGGATGTCAAGGACGCCTTCAGTCGGGGCGACGCCGAGCAGTCGCGGCTGCTTCACCAGCTTAAGACGGAGATGGGGGGCCACACACACGCGATGGAGAACCACATGACGGGCGGCGAGCACATCAAGAGCGCTGTGTACGGCGGTCTGGACGGTATCATCACGACGTTCGCCACCGTCACGTCCGTGGCCGGCTCGGGCCTGCCGCACTCCGTTATCCTCATTATCGGCCTGGCCCACTTGGTGGCCGACGGCCTGAGTATGGGCCTTGGCGATATGCTCAGCTCCCAGGCTGAGGCCGACCTGGCCAACCACGAGCGCTCTCGGGAGCAGTGGGAGTTTGAAAACTACCCGGAGGGCGAGATCGAGGAGATGGTGGAGCTCTACGAGAAGAAGGGTATCTCCACAGACGACGCGCTGCTGGTGGTGCATACGTTGGCCAAGTACAAGGAAGCTTTCATTGATATTATGATGGTAGAGGAGCTCAACATCATGCCAGTGGACGACGACGACTCGCCTCTTATGGGCGGAATCATCACCTTCGTGTCCTTCATGCTGTTCGGCGTGATTCCGCTACTCTCGTACCTCGTCAACCTGGTCCCAGGCATCAACATGAGCCCGGAGGCAACGCTGTATTTGTCCTGTTTCCTCACTGTCGTCACGCTGTTCCTGTTGGGCGCGGTGAAGGGCAAATTCGTCGGCCAGAAGATGTGGAAGTCGGGCGCCTCAATGGCCATCAACGGTACGATTGCCGCCGCGTGCGGATGGATCATCGGCTACTTGTTGCAACTCACGGGTATCCAGAACATCGGATAAAACTGTATGGACTCAAAGAACAGCTGAGTTGACTGCTACTTGTAGTTTGTAAACACCGACATATGAAAAATCACTTTTGACATTATGATCGTTTTATGATATGACGAATTCTAATCACTCATAATCCTTCCACGAATCCGGACATAGCGCGGATAACATCCCAGCACGAGACTTCAAATTGCACGCTGATCACAAGCAGCACAGCGATGACCATAAAGCCCATTGTAAAGAGCATCGTCCAGGGCGCAATGGGCTTCAGCACAGCAGCAAAGGGCGAGTCGAGATCAAACAATGAAGACCGCAGAGCCGAACTGAGGATCATGAAGTTGTGCAGACAGCCATTGTGCGAGCTAACGCTCAAAATGCGGCCGTCAGGAGTCCACTGTAGGTCTTCAAATGTCAAGGAAGGAGCTTGCATTGAGCCACTACCCGAGCTACTTGGTCCAGAGAGATCCGCAAGCATTGATGAAGACGTCGGGGGAGTTCCGGAAGTCGCTGAAGAGGCTGGTGGCTCGCTGTCTAGATATTCTACAGCGATCTCCTTCCAGTCGCTCATACGCACCACCTTAATGCAGTTATCTCCACAGGTTGCCACTGTCCCATTGGCCTCGTTGTATACTATCTCTCGTAGCGAGTGTTCGTGAAATTTAGCGCAGTATTGCTCTTGACCAATTTCGTTTAAATGTGTGGAAATAATCACAACATATCCAGACGAGAACCCCGCGATAATGTACCCGTTGCCAAACCATTGATACGACACGATGTTGCCGTATCGTGCCTGGAATGCCAACTCCAGAGCGTTCTCCCTCTCGTTCAGATCGTACAGTAATATCGTCTTCCCACCCATGTTCACGGATAAAATTGCATCTTTATCCTCCGTTTTACCACCAAACTGCAACAATAAATAACAATAAAAAGATTAGCGTAAAAAATGCAATTAATAATAAAAATAAACATACCGTTACGCTATGCGGTGAAGCCTTGATCTTGACCTGGTCAAAAATCCGTCCCGACGGTAAACAGATCGTGATCTGTCGGTCCTCCGATCCAAATGCAAATTTGTCTTCAAGGTTCCAATCTCCACATAAAATTCGACGTTTGTGCTTGCTCGCCACCTGCGTCTTGGTTCCCCTAGCGTGGTCGTAGATGTACACTTGGCCTCGATTGGTACCAATGGCCAGCTTTACATCACCATCCACACGTTAGTGAACACTCTACTGTATCTATATTTTATACTGATGTACCAGTAGAGAATGTGGCGACTTGGACCACTTGATAAAGCTGATGTCCTTGCAGGGAAGGTCCACGAGCTGGTGCTGCTGGGTCTTCTTGGGCTCCCATAGTACCAGCGACGCCGAGTTGGCCTGGACGATGGCCAGGATGTCTCCGTTCTCACTCCACTCCAGCAGAGTGCACATACTATAAACAATTTTACACTTAGAAATATAATAATTGTGTTTAATTTGAGCAGATTTTCATTTACCTCGGCGACGGTGGCACGATCTGGTCTACGAGTTTTCCACGTCGGCCGAAGATATGAGCGACACGAGAGGTTCCTGACGATGCCACATAGTCGCCGCGGGGGTCCCAAGCGTACTTGACGGGCCCCACACCGTGGTGGCGCGCGTCGACCGAGAAGATCATCAACATAACGCTTATTGTTTTTCGCTGGCTTTCTGACAAATAAAATGTCACTGAAAAATACCTCGTCAAAGTGACTATAACTGGATTAACCAATCAGAAGTGAGCAAGTACGTCAGCAAGTTGCAGAGTGTTGATCGAGGACGAGGTTGCAAATATAGGACAGTGGGCTGCGTTGTTCGACACTTCACGTTACATGCAATTGATCAATTTGTCGATCTTACACTGATATCGACGCATTAGGTCGTGAATATGACCACACCATCACCAAACCAGCAGCTACAAGTACCACCGGCCACGCAGTCAACGAATCCAATCTATGTCTACACAAAATTTGTGGTCGCTTCTGCGCGGGCAACGACGGCGGTCGCAGCAGCGATGATGGCCAATAGCAACTCGAGTGGAATCAGCGAGCTCAAAGCACTTCACAATTCTACCAATGCACTCACCTCGCCTCGTGAACGTAGTGCGAAAAATACACCAAGAGATAGAAATCATGCGTACGCGAGTCTGGTGGATATCGTGCGACCACGAACTGTCCCGGTATTATCGTCCCGTCAGACGTCGACATCGCCTCGAGGAAATACCGAGCAGAAGGACGGCAAGCTTCCTCGTGTCAGGAGGCAGTCCCAAGCGGAGGGTAGCGGTGAATCCAGAACCAGTAGAGAGCAGGATAACCAGGACTCTAGACCACGGACAACACCTGCGCCTTCGACAGCGCCTTTAACTGGAGATCGTGAAGTGTTTCCGGCTTGGATTCGAGAACGAAAGGATTTCCAAGTGTTCTTCCCTCGGTTTTCGGATCATGTGATCACGGACGAGGAGATCCTGCAGCAAGGTGTCCCGAAGGAGCCGAGCGAACGAAATATTGTAGAGTTGCAGTGTATCGCGCGTTGGATCATGAAGATCCCATCCATGTCGACCTTCTTGGACTTGAATCAGGCCACAGAGATCGCGAAGCTGGCAAAGTATCGAGCCTTCCGACCACAGGAATATGTTTTCCGCAAAGGCGACGTCGGCGACGCGTGTTATCTCGTTCTCAGTGGAGAGGTACATATTCTAATCGACGGTGAGAAGGTGGCATCTGTCACCAAGAACTCTGCGTTCGGTGACATCGCGCTTCAGCTCGAGAACGCCACTCGCGGAGCCGACGTCCAGGCTGCATTCCCGCCAGGAACTGCATCACCTGGCGCATTGACGCCCAATTCCTCGCAGTCGGCGATAGGATGCGAAGTGCTAATGATCATGGCAGAAGATTACCACAAAACATTGGCGAGATGTCAAACACGTAGACGTAAACACCTCGTGAACTGGTTGCACACTGAGGTGACGTTGTTTCGCGATTGTGTGGAGAGTAAGCTTCACTTCTTCGAGCTTGTGTCAATCGACGTGCCGCTTAAGAAAGGTGAGATACTGTACACCCAAGGAGAATCGGTCGGAGCGTTCTACATTGTGCGTTCTGGTCGTGTAAGGCTGGAAGTTGACATTCAATACGAACGTCGACATCGGTGGCCGTGTGATAAACACAAGTGGAAGCAACAAGTTCACGCTGTCCGCTCACGTGTGCCGTTCCATACAGAAGAAAGTGCCGGGTTTTTCGGTTTTGAGATGTTCATCAAGGGCCAGCAAACACGCGCTTACACTGTCGTGGCAGATTCTCCTACAGTCGAACTGATAGGACTTAACCGCGTCGACTGCTTCTCGCCTTACTTCTCCTTCACCCCACGAGCTCAAGATCGGATCCACGATAAGAACGACAAATGTCGCGATATGGCGCTGAAAATGGTGCAGCAACAGCTTCGAGCATTTCGCAAGTCTCAGAGTGCAGCAGCAAGTAAGAACACGCCCACTCACCCTCCAGTTGTTATCCAACACAAATTCCCTCATTCAAGCGAGACTCCCGAATTTCAGTTCCCTCGTCTACGTCCTGCAAAGTGGAAAGCAGATAACGAAGTGGTTTCCGCATTTCAGCAAGCATGTCAATAAAAAAAAAAAAAAAAGGTGAAATATCTGTATTCAATTTTTTTTACTCTGTGAATCAACACAACGTGATAGACACCGCCAAAGTTGCTATCATCGCTGCGACCAGGTGAATCGATGTCTCTGATGGTGCCTGTGACGTCGTAGTCGAGATGGATTTATCAGAGCCGTCAGTTGTTGGTGCTGTTGTTGTTGTGGCTTTAGTGGCGTTGCTGGAATAGAATTTGAGTGCTCCATTCTCACACGAGTGACTCGTGATCGACGCTTTCGTGACTTTCGTGCTTTTTACAGCCGTGCCGCTGCAGCTAGTGCCTCGATACGTGAGGAACGTTGCCGATCCATCCGCATAGAGTGAAACTTTCATACTGGAAACCCCATTGTCAGTGACTAAACAGCTTCCATCCGCCTGGAATGCTGCACCGGATAGCAATTTCTTGCATTCTTGTCCCGATTCGTAGATCTCCATCAACACATACGGCTTGTCTCCATAGGCAGCAGCAGATAGAGCATCGTAGTCATCCGAGGCACAATCTCGATCCCAGTACAAGGCCTCGCCGTTGATATTGACACTGGAACACGAGGTGATAGCAGAGCAAGACGGAGGTGGCGACTCCTGGAAGCCGATGATAGTCGGCGACGAAGAACATTTGGAGTCCGTGTGCAGTTTGTAGACTGCAGACTCGCTGTGAACATGCACAAGGAATAAAGCTACATTTGCAGCCAAAAACACCCAGGACGAGCTCATAGTTGTGGTTTTATGTAAAACGGAAAGTGAAGTCTGGATACGGCGCCTCAAAGGGTCAGCGACGACTCGAAAGATCGGCGAATATGGTTAACCGTGTTGGTTCACACGGCGTTTCTGTTTCCTTTGTGTGTGTGTGTGTGTGTGTTTTTTTTTTTTTTTTTGCTATGGTTTGGCCAAGTTGTACCTTATCAAATGCGGTCTACTGGACGCTTATTCATACTCCAGAATGATCTCGTCCACCTTGAGGGAGTCGCCTGCAGCACGCTTAATGCTCTTGATGACGCCTCTCTTTTCGGAACGAAGTACGTTCTGCATCTTCATGGCTTCCACGACGGCCAGTTCTTGGCCGAGTTCCACGTCCTGGCCGACCTCCACTGCCACTGAAATGAGCATACCAGGCATTGGACATAGCAACAAGTTGGACGTGTCGACCTCGGGCTTCGGCTGCATGTGCTTCCCGTACGCAGCTTCCAGCTCATTTCGCACAACCACGTCGTGGACAGCGCCGTGGAATTGAAGACGGAATCCCTCGGGCAGTGTCTGCAGCATTTGAGACGCCAACGGCTGGTCAGCTGCTCCGTCCTGCTTTGCGTACGACGCCTTGAACAGCGGCCCGTTGAGTGACCAATCCACATTGCCCACAACGTGCCACTTGTTGTCCACCAAAGCCAGCGTCGCTGTTTCGGTACGGTGTCGCTTGTTCTCGACCTCGACTTCCACTACAACCACAGGCTTGGACTCTCCAAATGGCCCGTCAATACTAACAGACAGCTGAGCTCCCAAGTTCTTGAGGTCGTTGCGTTCAGCTAGAGCGATCAGATCCTTAGACGATAGACCGGGGGCGATCGCTCGCAGACGAGGAACAACTCCCGCTCGGTTAGAAATAAACTCCAGCTCGTCCTCGTTAAGCGAGTCGAACGAGCCGAAACCTTCTGCAGGTGTCGATTGAATACGACCCGAGATCTGGCTACTGGCCATCGCCTTCTTCAAGTGCATGATGGCTCCGACGACGCGGAGATCCTCAACTTCGGGTGCTGTCAGCTTCACACCATCGAATCCATCCGGATACTCTTCCTCGATGAATTTCGTGGTGATTTTTCCGCTCACGAAACGAGGATGACGATAGACATCTTGTAGGAAGGAGACGTTGTTGCCAGGACCGCGGATAACGTAGTTGTCCAACGCCGTCTTCATGCGATTCAAGGCTTCAGGACGATCCTTGCCGTACGTGATGAGCTTGGAGATCATTGGATCGTAGAACATGGAGATGTCGCTGCCTTCGTTCACTCCAGAGTCCACACGCACACCAGGGAGGTGAGCAGGTTCCTCGTACTGCAGAAGTCGCCCGATAGACGGCAGGAAGCCGCGCAGTGGGTCTTCAGCGTACACTCGGCTCTCCATAGCCCAGCCGTGGATCTTTACTGGCCCCTTGACCAACTCCTTGGGCAGTTCATGGCCGGCCGCCACGCGGATCATCTGTTCCACCAGATCCACCTTCGAGATCAGCTCCGTGACGGGATGTTCCACTTGTAGACGCGTGTTCATCTCCAAAAAGTAGAAATTCTTGTGCTTATCACACAGAAACTCGACCGTACCGGCACTTACGTAGCCCACCTTCCTGGCTAGCATCGCGGCCTGTTTGCCCATGGCCAATCTCGTCTCCGGATCCAGCAGCACACTCGGCGCTTCTTCAATAACCTTCTGGTTACGGCGTTGGATGGAGCATTCTCTCTCTGGCAAGGCCACCACGTTGCCGTGCGAGTCTGCGATTAACTGGATCTCAATGTGACGTGGGTCTTCGATAAACTTCTCGAGGAACATCCTGTCGTCTCCGAAGCTGCTGGCCGCCTCCTCCTTCGACAGACGGTAGCCCATACGCACCTCTTCGTCGTTGTAGGCGACGCGCATGCCTTTGCCGCCTCCGCCGGCACTGGCCTTGATCATGACCGGATATCCGATCTCCTGGGCCACTTTGACTGCCTCATCGGGCGTGTCGATCTCCCCGAGGAAGCCTGGGATCGTATTGACACCTGCGTCCATGGCCAACTGCTTGGACTCGATCTTGTCGCCCATGGCCTGGATGGCCTCGTGGCCAGGACCGATAAACGCCACTCCAATGGCCTCCAAGGCCTCACAGAAGTCTTTATTCTCCGATAGAAAGCCGTAGCCCGGGTGCACAGCCTGCGCGCCAGTGGCCTTGACGGCCTCCACGATCTTTGGGATGCTCAGATAGCTCTGACTCGACGGCGCGGGCCCGACGCACACGGCCTCGTCAGCCATACGCACGGCCACTGAGTTCACGTCGGGCTCTGAGTACACGGCCACTGTCTTAATGCCCAGCTTCTTGCACGTGCGCATGACGCGTACGGCGATCTCGCCGCGGTTGGCCACCAGGATCTTATCGAAGAGCTTCTCCTTTGGGGCCGCGTGCAGCTGGCGCAGGGCCGAGGGCGGGCAGCGCGCGCTGGACAGCAGCTGACGTCGTAGCAGGCGAGCTGAGAGCATTGCAGAGTGATGGTCACGTACGCCTCGGGAGGTTGAAGTGCGAGTGCGCGTCGAATGCGGAATGGACTTCGTGCGTGATCGCCTTTTGCGGTGGTGGATTTGGAGTATAGTGAGACCAAGTGAAACGAAACACCGAATAGTGGCCCCTACTGGTTGAAGTTGAGACTCGGATGGGCACTTTTCACAAGTTGTGCATCATAACGCAAGGTTTTGATGCGGCTGAATTGGCGAGGCTGCAGCGCTAGTGCCAGTCTGCAAGCAGTGTTAATGCGCGCTGTTGCTGGGATCGACGGCGCCATCTACTATGAAAGAGGGCAGCCTACGAAAGTGAATCATGCGCATCACTACAAGTCTGTATGGGGAAACTTGTCGTATCTACTAGTCGTTTTGCTAATGTGAGCGCGATATTCAGCACCACGAGCAGAACACTCGCCTAAAGCTTTCGGTCTGCCATCGTCCTGGCCTCTGCAAATCAAAAGAATCGGCAGCATCAATGATCTGCGTTTAACATAATGACAACTTCAAGATGGAGTATTGCCTAGATCTAGACCCACTGGCTGCGATTCCTGTTCATCATCGTGTACTAGACTGATACCAGCACTGCTAATGCGAGTCACATTCTGCGACCCACGCACCGAGTCATTGTCAGTCTTGGAGTTATTATTCCGCGTTATTTCCGCGGTTGTTTTCCAGCTTCCAGGCCGTACTTGATCTGATGTGCCCACGATAGCATTGACGTCAGGAAGGCTGTGCTGTCACGCATCCACTGGGAGATCTTCAGATAGGTGTGCAAGAACCAAGTTCGTAATGGCAAGTGGATACGTACCATGGTGAGCTGAATGGTCGTCAAGACGAAAGTTATACCAGTCACAAGCTCCGATCAATAAACCGCAGATATCACCGTGAATGGTCACGTCCCACCACCACAAATAACGCGAACTCGTCGAATCTTTTCCTGCAGATATTGTGCTGGCTTACGAGCAAGGATAACTTTCAAATGATTTTGTACAATTTCGTGCAGCTTATTGTTTTCTGCGGGTTTACTTCCTAGTGACATTGCGGATAACTCGAACGAACAGCTTAGTTCTCGAGCACGACGCGGTAGCGCACTGTGCCGTTGCGCACCATTTGGATGCCCTCGTTCACCTTGCTCATGGGAAGTTTCTGGATCACAGGACGCACGTTCTTCTTCGACGCCAGCTCCAGCATATCCTTGATGTCCTGGATGCTGCCGATAGCGCTGCCCTTGAAGTTGAGGCCTTTGCCTACGAGCGGGTACGGACTGAACTTGATCTCGTCGTTAGGTAGACCCACCATGATCACCGTGCCGTGAACCGCCAGGAAGCTCAGGAACAGCGTGTAGGGCATGTTGTTGGCGTCGGCGGTGATCAGTAGAATGTCCACCGATTTGGACGCATCCGCCGCCTGCTTCTCGTCCGTGTACACGACGAACTCGTCGGCGCCGAGACGACGGATCTCCTGCTCCTTACTGGCCGAACGGGAGAAGGCCACTACAGCGGCGGCGCCCATAGCCTTGGCGAACTGGATGCCCAGGTGGCCCAGACCGCCAACACCCACGATACCAACGCGGTCACCGGGTTTGATACCCACCTCCTTGAACGGCGTGAACACTGTGGTGCCAGCGCACAGCAGCGGCGCGGCCACGTCCGACGGAATATTGTCCGGGATCTTGAACGCGTACTCGTGCGTGACGCGGATGTAATCGGCGTATCCGCCGTACGTGATGGCGCCGTCCGTCTTGCGGTATTTCGAGTTGTACGTGCCCACGTGGTAGCGGCAGTACGCGTCCTTGCCCTTGGCGCATTCCTTGCACGGCTCGTCCGGGAACTTGTTGAGGCAGGCCCAGACTTGCGCGCCGACACCAACGCGGTCGCCCACCTTCATGTCCTTCACTTGGTCGCCAGCCAGCGTCACTTCACCGATGATCTCGTGGCCTACTACACACGGATACATGGTCTGACTCCAGCCGCTGTCCATAGTGTGCAGATCGGAGCCACAGATACCGCAATGCGAGATCTTGATCTCCACATCCTCAGGGCCAAGAGGACGCGACTGGTACTCCCACGGCTTGGCCTCCTCACCCTTGGCGAATGTGGCGTACGCGTGGATGGTTCTCGGGGTAGTCGACATGGTTTCGGCTGAAGTTGGAGCTGGTTTGTGATTGACTTGTCAAGTGTCGATCAAATTCGGAAATGAGCTTCTGACGGACGAGAGCAATCCGCGCGAGTGCTGCTGTTTTACCGGGCGGGTATCATTCGTGGCTGGGCTCATCGTCGCATAGGAAGCGGTTTTGGTTGAACCAAACTCACACGCCAAACTTTAGTTGTTTTGTGCAGTTTGTCATTGGCACCTCGTCTCTCGTCCACTTCAGCTTGGGTAACCACACCGGTTTACAGATCGAGTAACCCCCCAAGACTTACCGGTACAAGCAGCAAGTCTTTTGTGTGGGACACTCGGACCCGGACACTGCGTAGGTAAACCTGCCGGTGGTTGACGCGCCCATAACGAACGAGAGACAGGCTGATCGGACCGTGGGCTCAGGATCAGAGGAATTTCCATAATCCAGTACTAAGGTACTGGATTTTGGAAAGATCGACACATAATTAATTGTACTGTTAACAGTACATACTAAGTGCGGTATGCGAACTTACTATTTTGAAATTATGGTGTTACATTGCGATTTAGAAAATATCTAGACTCGCTGTACTACTCGTTGACTGCGTCGCATAGGCTGCTTGGGGCGCCGTCTGCCTCTTGTTGGCTGGTACAGCCACACGAAGTCGATTGTCTCCAGTTCAAAGTCGATCTTCATCTTCCAGGGTAAATTTTTCGCTGGTTCCCATGTTAGTTCTCTGTAGTCAATCCATTGGACTAGATAGAATTCTAAGTTATGAACCCATCGCTTCGCGTACAGCCTCTCAATTTCGTAGACCTCCTCACTACGTCCTCGTCGAGCTCGGTTGCCACTAAAAAGACCCGTGCCTCGCTGGACTTCCATGTTACTTGTTCTTATTTCTTCGTTGTTGGGTTGTTTAAGTGGGAGGTTGGTGTTTTTCTTCAGCTGATAGAAGGAGCCATCTACCTTGCGGTTGAAGTTCTTGGCGTGTTTCTTGCGCTTGTTGTGGGGCGGCATCGTGCAAATTGTAAAGTGACTACTGTTGTGCGCATCATAAATCCTCAAGACCGTCAGAAATCTAATATTATGAAAGAAAATAAAAAAACCACGTCAATTTTTAGGAAATGAACAATTTGAAAAAAATAGTTTTTAAGTTCGAGATTTGAATTTGATATATACAAGACGTAATCTGGACGCTACTTTCGAAGCGATCCAGGAGAGAT